ATATTATTGAAGGCCCCCAAAGTAACTCTTGCTTAAAGTCATAAATGTTCTTGAGACGGCTTTAATTGGAATTATCCCCTTCTCTCTCTCATTGGCCTTAATTTATTGTTTTTTTAATGCCTACCACGTGTCGCTCATGCATGTGGCTTCTTGGGTGCCGTCATGCAACCTAAGTGTTTGCAATCTAGTGTGTTGATTCCATGCATGTAGCCTATATGGCTACTAAGGTGGCCGCCACGCAGCCTAAGTGGTTGTCATGCAGCCTAGGTGGCTGCCATGTAGCGTCACACGCCCGTTGCGGCTACCGTGTGGTGCTTATGCACCCTTTGTGGTTCGCTTTCCACACAGCTTACATGGTCGCCATGTGACCTAGCTAGGCTACCAAGTGGCTGTAATAAGCCCTAGGTGGCTGCCAAGTGGCTTTAATGCGATCTAGGTGGCTACCATGTGGTAAAGTTGTTCAAAAAAACTCGAAACCTGGTACTCGAATTGAAAAACCGAGTAGTCAAAAATTCGGTTCGATTTTGGGTAATTATAAGTAGAAACTCGGTTCAATTTTAAAAAAATTCAGGTACCGAGCCATAATCGGTTTTAACCTTAAATTAAAATTAAAATTGAAATCTATCTTAAGTGTTTATACCATTTTGTGTCAAATAGAATTTGGGATCGCAAACCTAACGTCTCTACTTCTTTGTTCTCTTCTGAATGTGTGCTCTTCTCACTTCTCACTTCTGGCTGCCATCCGTGTCGCGCTCTGGTGACTCCTCACTTCTCACTCCTCAGTCCTTCATCCGCACTCCGTCGTCGTCACTCCTTCAGTCGCTAAGGTAAGAATTAGGTCTGTTTGGTTGAATGTTGGGTTTATTCATGCATTGAAGCATTACAAATTGTATCTAAGATGATTTAGAATTTTGGATATAAAGATTAACTTTAAATCATTTCAAATTTTCAACATCTTATATTAAGATTCAGTTTCGTCTTTAATGTTAGGCATGGCTTCTTTCACTTTCACTTTCTATTTTCAATTTCTTCTTCTTTCATATTTCTCATACCAACTTATTTATTGATATCCTGCTTTTCTTGTTCTCCTTGCATGTTTCTTCTCCTTTTTACACCAATTTCGTGACTCCCCTTCTCCCTATTTTCTCTGTTCTTTCCAATTCACTATTTTCATATTTTGTTTTGTATATATTATATCTTATCTACTTAAATTAAAAATTGAGAAAGTCTAGAAGTTAATTTTTCAAAATTCAAGTTGAAGCTGAAAATTCGGTTAAAAAACCGGGCATCGGGTAATCGAACAAAATTTTTGGTTCGGTTCAAAACCAACTACTTCCCAAACTGGTTCGATTACTAGGTACCGTTGGAGCCTGAACTGAACTTTCAATTTGGTTCAGCCAATTCCATAATCGGTTCGAGTACCCAATTTTGAAAACCCTTACCATACAGCCTAGGTGGGCTACCAAGTGGCTGTCATATGGCATACTACAACAATATTAAGTTTAAAAGTAATACTACACATACAACATTTTTATACAACATTTTTCATACAACGTTATGTGTAAAATATGATTAGCTGATTTTAAATTAAAATTAAATTTTCACTCAATTATCTTTTGCCACATAATGTTGAATGAGAATGTTGTATGTATAATATTATTCTAAAATGTAATACTATACATATAACATTTCTCATACAATATGATGTGGCAAAAGATGATTAACTGATTTTAAATTAAAAAATACTTTCACCAAATCATTTTTTGTCACATCATGTTGTATGAGAAATGTTGTATATGTAGTATTACTCTATTCTAAATTTAATCTACTCCAGTCATATTCAATTCACTCTAATCTAGTATGAAAAAGTTAGTTCAGTCTAGTGAGGTGTGCCAAACACACCTTTAGGGGATAATAGGAATTTGATAGCTTGTATGCAGGGTTGGCTCAAGGGGTAGCCAAGTGAGGCACCTGCCTAGGGCCCCCCCAAAATAGGGTAAAAAATGGCTCAATTTTTTTATAAATTGTTTTTTGAATATATTATAATTATGAAACCAATGTATAATTTCTTATTCAGGTCGGCCCAAGGGGCCCAAAAAAAAAAGCTAAAAAGGCCCGAATTTATTATAAAGTTTTTACATAAATTCCCACCCAAAGTTTGGCAAAATAGCAAGTTTATACCTCTAGTTTCATATATTCCAATTTATACCCCTAAATTAACACATTGAATTTCTTTTAACATGAAATGCTAAAATAGTCATTTACATGTCTCAAATTACTTACCCCCAATTCAATCCTAAAATTCGACATTCACATAAATCATCACCACCCCTCTTTCGTCATCGGCCGTTTGGAGCTGATTCCGATCGATTTTCTCGCAAAAATCGACCGGAATCATCACTTTATTATTTCTCAAGTGTTTTCCCAGCCTTGATAGCCCTCGATTTGACAAATTTTTGACGAATCTCGCAACCCAACTCCATCATGTGTAACAGCCATTTCTGGCCTTTTCGGCATGTACCTGGTGTTGTTGGTCTTCCCCAACACCACCATCTTCCTCCCCTCAACCCTCTCACCAAAACCCCTATCATACCTCATCCGTTTACTCCGCCAACTGTTAACCACCGATACTTTTTTGGCCGCGACTTCTCAAGCCTTTTTCGGTCAATCTTGACATTAGAAATCACCCATTTCACCACCCATCGCTTCTCTAGCATCTACTCTCCAAAACCCCCTACTAGCTTGACCCTGTTAGCCCGTCGGTCGTCGTCCATCTCTCCTAGTGATTTTGCATATACTTATGGCTACAAATGTTCTTGAGACGGCTCTGCTTATATGACTTTGGAAAATTAATTAAAAATTCAAAAAATTAATAGTTTAATTCATTTCGCTGTTTTAGAATATACTAATATAATTTCAACTACAAATATTCCTATTCACCGACAAGTTAGTATTCTTAAAATGGAAGCTGAGTCATACAAAATATTAGATACACACTGAAAGATATATATAACTATGTTACGGATTTGTCGAATCATATAAAAGATCATGATCATAAGTGAGTTGAGTATTTTGAATTTGAGAAGGAGAGAGTACAAATCCAAGATGTTGGGTATAATTAAAGATTACAACCAACAATGACAACGGCATCATTCATTAACCCGAGTTGGTCTAATTAAAAAATATATTGTTCATGAACACATAATCTAATTTCTTTTTTAAATAATATATTGGAATCGTTTTAAAAAAAGCTTCATATATCAATACTTTATTAGATCATGCAGAGAAGTCACATGTTAATGACACCTCATACATATTGTCAAAACATAATTTCTTAAGCTATGCTGCAAACCACAAGGCCACAAGGTCGTGGGGGCGTTACCGCGTTAGTAAGGTTTACCATTTTTTATTTTTTTATTTAATCACGTCCAAATATAAAGGGTTCATTCTATACGCTTTTAATTTCATCCTCATATTGATAAATATAAACAGATTCAAATGAATATTAATAGATTATATTAGAAAAAAAATATAAAGTAAAATAGTTGTTATCGTTGTCATGGGATAATTACAAATGATTGAGTGTTGCCATTAGAGCATAGCCGATTAAATAGATGAGAGATAATAAATTTAAAACTAATATAAATTCATTGGTTCGTGGTATAAATAATTGTTTTAAAACCTGGTCTAGCCCAGTCGGTTCAACTGGTCGGACCGGGATTTGGGGCCTCCACCGGTCTGAGCCTAAGAAACAACCGCTTGTGCAAGTTAATCTGCGGTGGCCCGTGGTCAGATTGGCGGGACAGTAGCAAACCGCGGATCCGACCTGCCCAGGAACAAAACAAGGTCAATAAAAAAAAAAATACCCGGCTTCCAATTTTACAATCCCTAATTCCAAATTTCCAATTTCACTCGTTCTTCCACTCCAGCCAATCGAATCACACACCAATTTCACCTACAAACTGCCATCCTTGTTCTCTCAACTATGCAAACGTCGATTGAATCAAAAACTCATCTACAAACTGCAATCTTCGTTTAGTTTAAAATCGATTTCAGATTTTTTAGTCGAATCGGGCGAAGGTTTAATTGAATTTCTTCTTATTTTTCTTGTTGATTTCTCTTTTTTTTTTTTCCTCCTTAAATTGTGTCATGATGTGTTATTTTCATAGGATACACGACAATAGCTCTAAAGAATTGTAACCATCCGTTCTTAAGGGTTGTCAAGCCACCAGAATTTCCTAAACCTGATGTTGCAGGAGAATTACAATAATGGGTTCATCGAAGAAACAAAAAAACAAAGGCTTTATTGCATCCTGGTGTCCCCAAATGGCATAGAATCTCCATATCTGATTTGGCTGTTTCGGTTTGGACCTCGTTTGGCCAGGTTGAGGCAGCCAGGGCCTTCTTGACTGTCAAGTAAAATAAGAGGGAGGGGAAGGAGAAAAGAAGGAAGAGAATGAAGTGAAGAAGTTAGAGAGAAAGAATAGGGGAAGGAAGAAGAAAGAGAGGAGGAAAGAACTGAGAAGAAAGTTACTGAAGAGAGAGGGGAAAGTGATAGAAGAAAGAAGAAAGCGACGAAGAGAAAGAGAAAAAAAAAAGTATAGAAGCTGTAGGGGAGTGTTTGCTGGATTTCAAACTTGCAGAGACTGATGGTAATTTTTTAGAGGTATGCTTACTGAATTTCAAACCTGCAGAGACTGATGCCTAATTTTATAGGGGGGTGTTTATGAATTTCAAATCTACAGAGACTAATGTGTAATTTATCAGGGATGTATTTGCTTGCTGCACACCGGTTTTAAAAACATTGGTGTAAATGATGAAGTACTCACATGCTATTCTAGATTTTCTCTTGAACGTTAAACAAAATACGTTTTTTTTTTTTTTTTTTTTTTTTTTTTTTTTTTGGATAAACGTTAACCCAAATACTGGAATTTTTTATTGATAAACATTAACCCAAATATGGGTTCTATTACAGTACAATACATCAATGTGAAAGTTCTGAATTAAAAACGTAAAATTTATAAAATACACTTGTACAGTGAAATACGATAGCCAAACCCCACAAATATTATCTATTCTTTAGTTCTAACAAATTATAGATTAATTAAGAACACATGATATATCATCTTTTATTTTTATTTTAATATCATTATCAATATGATAATATTACAACATCGACAACAAACTCCTTTAACAGATTCTAATAAGGAGGAGGTGTCTTCTCGGTCAGATATTTTCCAACGGTTTCTGCAAGTTTTTGCACTAGCTTGGTATTTACTACAGAAGTAAGATTTGCTAACTTATGATCAAGCTCATACTCTATTGTTGATCTTATAATACTTGATGTAAAATTTTTCTCAATAATTTTGTATTGAGTTATATAACGCTTGAAGCCCTGTGCTATAAATCCTCCTTCAATGGCTTTTGTTTCCTTCACATGCTTCATATTATCAACCTTTGTAATAATTTCCTTCATATAACCAACTCCAGGAGTTCCTGAAACAAAAATCAAACAAGAATATTTTATATTCAGCAGCTCAAAATAAAATGTTGATAAATAATATTAATTATTTTAATTACCTGGTGGAAATGTAACGTTTATAAGTGTGCCAACATGTCCATCACCTTCAACGACTTTAACTGTCCCAAGCACATTCGGCAGAAATGTATTTATAACTGTGAAGACTTGAAGGGTGCTATAGACATCCCACACCGAACAAGCCGATGCAGCCACCACCGTATTCACTGCAACAAGGCCATGCATTTTGAGGTTATGAATTTGGTTTTTTGATGGGTTGGTTCATTACTGTGGTAGGTATTTAAAATGGTGCAAAGAGTCAATGGATCTAAATGGGGAGAGCTAACGTGTTAATAAACCATCATTTTAAATAATATAAATTAGAAACGTAATATATAGGAGTTGTCAAGAATTTTCTTCACCCCGGCTAGACACATTTTTTTTTTTTGTTTAAAGGATAAAACGTAATATGTGGCAGACCCGGGCTATAGCCTTGGTTAATTTTTCTTTCCTAAAAAATTATTATTATTTTTAACAATATCAGTCCTAACTTCAGGAAAGCCAACTAAAGAGGTATTTTAAAAAATAATGTGTTAATTAAATTGAATAATAACAATTTTGTTTCTATTTTACACTCAAATATTTTATATAAATAAGTCGTTTTTATATCTTTACACATGGCTAATTAACCATGGTTTCTCTTTTGTTAATATATCAACAAATTTTAATTGTTATTAACCCATTGTTATCATTACCTACCAAAACAAGTGGTTAACAACAAGAAACTATGATTTAGCATAATAAACTAATTATTTATTTATCACTTGAAATCTCATTTGATATTCTTTTTGTCTACTAAAAGAAGTAATAACAACAAATATAGTAGATTATTTTTACCATGGGTTCCACTTCCTTTTTCATAGTTTGTTTATTCATGTGGTCAAGAAATCATATTTTTCCTTTTAAGAGATTAAATTAAATTAAATTATTAGATAAGTAATAATTCATAACATTATTGAAGTAAAAGACATTTTCCAGCAATGCAGAAACACATGTAATAAATTATTCCTAATTTTTCGGGTTAATTTTGCATTATTCAAAGGTAATTGATTCCAAAATTAAATTATTTGTGATTAAGAATAGTACACCAATAAGAAGAGAATAATTAGTTGTTAATTAATTTTCATTCATGGTTCCTTAATAATTAATTTAATTTGATTAAAATATACAAATCAATTGTTACCTAGTACATGAAAGTCTTTCTTAATTTCTTCAAGTTTGATGTTTCTTATTGAGAATAATGGTCAATTAAAATTAACCCATTCCAACAAGTATTTTGAAATAAGACGTTTTAGTATTACAAGTTATCCAAATAATTAATTCCTTCCCAAATCATATAATGCAAATAGTTTTGGCATAGTTAGGTAGAAGAGACTTCTAGAGTCTTGATTATTATTATTATTTCTTACTTTAATATTTTTTTTTTCAAAAGCTTTGAGTCACAATTTAATTAACACATTGAATGGGTCAATTGAATTGAATAAAATCAAGACTCTTAGGATTGTAAAGGATAAAACAAAATAAAATTCTTATAAGTTTTCACTAAGACTTTTTTTGTGTTGTGAAAGAGGTCATAATTGTAAGGGTAAGATATTTGGAGAGAATTCTAGAAATATAATGAATCGAAAATGAGTTTATTGAGTAACTGATTAAGTGTCCAATAATCAGTTTTACTCTACTCTTTTATATTGTTTTAAGAAAAGAGTAAAGTGAAGCTGGTGATTTTGGTAAAACGGTTGTAGTGAAACTACACCGTTTTACACAATTACATGTTAGTGCTGACAGTTTAACAAATGACAATCTCATCCATTTTTCTTCTAAATCCTAACATTCCCCCTTAAACTGGACAACATTAACAAAAAAAATAAAAAAAATAAAAAAATAACAACTTCCATCTATTCTCTTCCAGCAACTTTCTAGTACAAGCTTTTAGTATAAGCATTGGAGCTTGCAATTTCAGAGAACCTTAAAGACACTCTTGCACAACTTCAGTATTGCACACCTTCAGTATGCACACTATGATGAGCAGTGTTTAGATGAACTTGTTTAGCTGTTTTTCAATCTGCGAGCGACAAGCTTCAATTTCCGGCTACAACATATCGAAATCTGAAATAAAGATTGAAACAAAAACATTTTGTACTAACACATCAACCTCTGATCCTGAAATACAAATTCTGAAGTCTGAAACAAATACTTTCTGCACTAACACAAAAACCTCTGAATTTGACACAAATTCTAAAGTCAGAAAACAAAGACTTTCTGCACAAACATATCAACCTTTGAATCTGACCCAAATTCTAAAGTCTGAAAACAAAGACATTCTATACTAACACATCACTCTACATTTACACTGTTCCGCACTTACACACATCAACCTATGAATTTGAAATAAAATTCTCAAACAAGTTCTGAAACCAAGAGTCAAACTAAGTTTAACACAACAACACCTCTCAGCAACTACATAACTGTTAACCAACTCACATCTGCTAAACATCATAATTAATTAGATTACATAATTTCACTTCAACTTTCATATAATCAATTTACTCATTTCTTCTTTACTAACAACATTAAGTTGCTTCTTAAATCAGTGAACTGAACTATTGGTAAGACTTTTGTGAGCAGGTCCGCAATATGGAGCTTAGATGGCACATATTGAATTTTTAACCCTTTTGCTAGGACTTGCTCTCTAACATAATAAGCATTAATTTCTATATGTTTGGTCCTAGCATGGAAGACTGGATTGGCTGCTAAGGCTGTAACACTTACACTGTCACACCAAATGATAGGTGTGGCTTCAACTGATAACCCCAACTCTTCAAACATGCTCTGAAGCCAAGCAATTTCTGTTGCTGTTTGAGCTAAGGCCATGTACTCTACCTTGGTTGAAGAAAGAATTACAACCTTTTGTTTTCTTGAACTCCATTATATTAAGTTAGGGCCCATGTAAACACAATAGACACTAATGGACATCCTATCTTCCATATTGCTACCCCAATCAACATATGCATAACATTCAACACTTAAAGTGCTTGATACATTGAAATATAACCCATAATCTATGGTTCCTTTGATATACCTTAGGATTCTTTTACATGCCTGCCACTAAAGAGTTGTAGGAACTTGCAAAAACTGACTTAGTTTATTAACTAGATAACTAATGTAAGGTAGAGAAAGGGTCAAGTATTGTAGGACACCTATTATGCTTATGAACAGACTTGGATCAATAAAAGGCTCACTATCAGTAAAACACAACTTAGTTCCTACTGCCATAGGTGTGGCACAAGCATTCAAAAGCATATTTGCTATATTTTAAGTGAATTCAAAAAGCAATTCTTATGACTTCTAAACCCAAAAAATAGTGAAGAAATCCAAGAGTTTTAAGAGAGAACTCATAAGTTAGATCTTGCATAAGCTAAGCAATAAAAGAATTATCTGATCTTATGATTAAAATATCATCTACATACAAAAGCACATAGGTTAGAGAAGAGCTTTGTTTGAGAACAAGCAGACTGCTATTAGACATTGAATTCTAAAAGCCTTTGGAGTAGAGAGCTACCTTTAGCTTGTCAAACCAGGCTCTTAAGGATTGTTTGAGCCCATATAAAGCTTTATTCAGCTTACACACATAGGTAGGATGAAGAGAGTCTTTAAAACTAATAGGTTGCTGCATATAAACCTCTTCATTTAAGGTGCCATTTAGAAAGACATTATTTACATCCACTTGTTGGATATCCCACCTATTTGTGATAGCTAGAGTAAGAATTATGTGGATTGTGGAGGCTTTGATTACTGGGCTAAATGTTTCAAAGTAATTAAGTCTAGGGGTTTGTTGAAAAACCTTGGCTACAAGTGTAGCCTTGTATTTTTGTAAAGAACCATCTGCATTAAACTTGGTTCTGAACACCCATTTATTTCCTACAACATTCTTATTAGGAAAAGCAAGAACCAAGGTCCAAGTATCATTTTTTAGAAGAGCATCAAACTCACTTTTCATGGCATTCTTCCATTCAGGACTACTAAAGGCTTCAAATATAGTATTGGATTCAGGAATCACTTAACAAATTTCCAAATTAAGAGCTTCAAAAGTATCCTTATAAGAATTAGTATGGAGACTTTGAGCTGTTGTCTTGGACTTGGTCATCATAGGATGACAGTTTGGGGCAGCAGATGGGACAATTTGTAAACCAGTAGGAGTTTGTAATGAGGTAAGTTCAACCTCCAGCAAGCAGGTGGGAATTGAGATAGATGATGGAACTATAGGAAGTGTTGACATTGAAAGGTGTACATGTGAAGATGAGGCTGATTGTGTTGGTTGAGAATTACAAGTGTTGGTAACATCAGTGTGGGTAGAATTTGAAATGGTAGTTTTGGTAGAAGATGGAGTAATTTGAGTAGGTAGAATGTCAAGTGAGACAACAGGTGAAGGACAAGAAGTAACTGGAGTTTTAGTGTCAACTGTTGTGCTATTTGTGGACTAATTTTGAGAGCTAATTACTGTAGGAGGATCTTTCAAGGTTAATTGTGTGGTTATGTTGCTTGGAACTACAGTGTATGGAAATGAAGTAGTGGTGGTAGATGAGTTTGTAGAATTATCAAGGACATAAGACTTTTGGTGAGAAACTGAATTGAAATAGGTATTGGAATGGAAATGAAACTCTTGTTCATTAAACTTGACACTAGGAGTGACAAAAATTTCTCCATCAGACCTTAAACACTTGTAACCTTTATGGATAAGACTATACCCTACAAAAACACACTTAGATGAATGAAAACTGAACTTGTGGTGATCAAAGGTTCTGAGAAAAGGAAAATAGGAACATCGAAAGACCTTTAGACTACCATAAACAGGAGGTTTCTTGAAAATTTTTTGATATGGAGAAATGTTGTTCAAAATAGGTGTAGGCATTCTATTAATCAAGTATACAATAGTTTCAAATGATAACCACCAAACTTGGATAGGCATATGTGTATGTGCTAGAAGTGTGAGACATGTTTCCACCACATGCCTATGTTTCCTTTCACATCTTCCACTTTATTGATGAATATGAGAGCATGAATGCCTAAATTAAAGGCCTAAGTCTATAAGATAAGAATGAAGGGCAATAAAATCTCCCACTTGATCATATTGAAGACATTTTAACTTAGTGTCAAATTGTCTTTCAGCCAAATGATGGAATTTAATGAAGATGGATTTAACTTTTGTTTTAGTCTTTAGTGGACACAGCCAAGTGTATTGACT